CCGCAATCCACAACCTTGAGAATGAGTGGTAGTTTCCACCTTCCTGGTAACACCCGCAATCACCCATAGTCATCCTTTCTTGGTGATCTCAAGGTCCTGCTTGGATGCCGCACCACCACCACCCCCTTTCCAGGCTCTAGATCACCCAGGTTAATTTGGTGATTGAGTCAACACAGCTTAGAGGAAGGTCTAATTGCTGTGTGTATATGTTAAATGATTATCTTTAACTCACAACAGCTTTGATGACTTTTCTAATAATTTAGTGGAGCTGTATACACCATATTTGACCTTTTTTTTTTTTTTTTTTTTCTGGAGCTGAGGACCGAACCCAGGGCCTTGCGCTTGCTAGGCAAGCGCTCTACCACTGAGCTAAATCCCCAACCCCGTATTTGACCTTTTTGAAAAGCAGTTCCTGTCTGGAGTGATGGTGTAGCAGTTAAGAGCAGTTTTTTGCAGAGGTTCAGTTCCTGACACCCAGGTAACAGCTCGAAACTGTCTGTAACTCTTGTTCAGTGCTGTTTTCTGGCCTCCATGGTTACCAGGTACGCCCATGGTACACTTACATACATGTAGGCAAAACACTTAGACACATAAAATAAAAATAAAATAAACTTTGCTTGGGTGTTGACGGTGCACACCTTTAATCCTAGGACTCAGGAGGCAGAGGCAGGCAGATGTCCGAGTTCAAGGACAGCTAGGGCTATACAGAGAACCCCTGTCTCAAAAAACCCAAAACCAAAAATTAACCCCACAAACGAACAAAATAAAAGGAATATCCCTGAATGTGAACTATGTAGGAACAGAAGCAAGATAGAATTGTTGTTTATAAATTATATAATTATAATATATAATTAAAATTATATATATTGTTTATAAATTGTAAAGAGCAGCTAGAAACCAGGTTTCGGGAACTCAGAAGGAAGAAAATGGGAAAAGGCCTCAACACTGCCAGATTTGGCCCCGAGAATGACATTGAGCGATGACCAGAAAAGAAAGATTTTTTTGGAATTGGGGATTCTAAATATATCATTTAAAATTGCTTATGAAAGTAAGGTTTTAGGGCTGGAGAGGTGGCTCAGAGGTTAAGAGCACTGGCTGCTCTTCCAGAGGACCAGGGTTCAATTCCCAGCAACCACATGACAGCTCATACCTGTCTATAACTCCAGGTCCAGTGGATCTGACACTCTTACACAGATGTACGTGCAAGCAAAACACCAATTCACATAAAATTAAAAATAAATCATAAAAAAGGAAAGAAAAATAAAGATTAAAGAAAATTAATTCTAACTTGAAATACTGTAAATTTTTATGAGTGACATTGTAATCTGTTAAAATGCTAGAGACTGTTTTTTTATTGACCTTTCTCCATTTTTAATGTATCTTTGGTTGCTAATTATGAGTGTTCAAGGCCTTAGATTAGCTCAGCAAATGTGAGTACCATGCTGCTGTGTGACAGAACTTCTCCTGAGAAACATTTACACGACACCAGACTCATGACAGACCCAAGTGCAGATACCACCAGAGGCCAACTTGGTGAGCTAACTAAATTTTATCGGTGTTACTTAGAAGAATATGGGTGAGGGGTCACTCACAGGAAAGGAAGTGACTCAAAGACAGCTGTATCACTAAAGCACCCCCAGCTGGGGTGACAGCTCACAGTCTGGGAACCTGGAGCACACGGCACAGCCTGCACGCGCTCACCAGATTGGAGACTGTCCATCCCAGGTGCCTCAGTTTGTTTAAACTGCTGCTTCAGGAGCTAACTGGTCTAGCTTCAGTCTTCTTGGCAGCTAAATTCCGTTTATCTGAGAGGGACTCTCAGGTTTTATTGTTTCACCTGACAAGGAAGGGCCTAGTGAATCTGGTCAGTTTTGGGGACTCCTGAACCTATTGTGAGTTGTTAATCTTCCTGCTGAAGGAACTTCATTGCAGGGTGGAATGTTCCAATCTCAGAGGAAACTGTTAGGCAACACCTGTCCATCCAACCACTGTCCAACTTGGGCTATAAAGATGAATAAATAGTTTGGTGCCTCCCAGGTGAGATATGTATAGGCAGTGTTTGACTATCCTACCAGCAAATATTTTTTTTCTCTTATTTAGTGCAGTTTCCACTTAAATTTATATTTTTCAAATATGGAACTAGTATTTTGACTTTTTCCCAGTGCGTCCACATTCATTCTATACTTTTTTCTCAATTCTGAGTTGCTTTGAAGCCGTCAGAATCATTGCTACAATGTTTCTTCTTTCTTGGTCCTGGAGGCCAACAAGTTCATAGAGAATCAGTAATTGGAGCAGGTAGGAGTTTCAGACCAAGTAAAGTAGTTTTTAAAATAGTATAGTGTTGGAAGATGGCTCTCCATGGGTAAAGGTTCCTGCAGCTTAGCCTCCTCAGATGACCTGAATCCTTGGAACCCACATAGTGGGAAGAGAGAATTGACTTCAGAAGGTTGTCATCTGTGGCATGCATGTGTGCACACAACAAATAAATACATACATACATACATATATACATACATACATACATAAATAGTTTTTGTTTTTCAAGACAGAATTTCTCTGTGTAGCCCTGGCTGTCCTGCAACTCATTCTTTAGACCCAGGCTGGCCTCGAACCTAGAGCTCTGCCTGCCTCTGGATCCTTAGTGCTGGGATTAAAGGCATGTGCCACCACTCCCCAGTAAAAATAAATATTAAAAATAATTTTTGTACTAATACTATTAAAACTTTTCATTTTCACACAAATGGAAAGTGGATTTTCCAGAGGCCATGTAATCAAACGTATCACAACAGATGAAGTATAGATCCAGAAGCTGGTGCACACCTTTAATCCCAGCTCTCTGGAGGCCGAGGCAGGCAGATTTCTGTGCGTTCAAAGCCAGCCTGGTCTATATAGTGAGTTATAGGCTAGCCAGAGCTACACAGTGACACTTTGTCTTAAAAATAAAAAAGAATGTTGGGGCTGGAGATACGGCTCAGCAGTTAAGAGCACTGGCTGTTCTTCCAGAGGACCCCAGTTCAATTCCCAGTATCCACATGGCAGCTCACACCTATCTGTAACTCCAGTTCCAGGAGACCTGATGCCCTCGCACAAACATACATGCAGGCCAAACACCAATGCACATAATCCCAGCACTCAGGAGGCAGAGGCAGGCGGATCTCTGAGAGTTCGAGGCCAGTCTGGTCTGCAGAGCTAGCTCCAGGACAGGCTCCAAAGCTACACAGAGAAACCCTGTCTTGAAAAACCAACATAAATAAAATAAAATAAAATGAAAAGAATTTTATTAGGGATGTTATGGTACCATGATGGGTTTATTGTTATTTTGTAATGAATAGGTAGAGGGGTTTGTTGTTATTGGTTTCCTGTTTTCATTTGTGATGTGTAAATATTGACAGATAGAGCCCACACTTGGGTCATCCGTAATCCTTAAGGATGTGAAAGCACCAAGTATGGAAACTATTGGCATGGAGACTCTCCAAGATCATGTCCTAGACTTTGGCTGCATATGCTTTCTTCAGTGGGTTTATGAGCTGTGACTTCTGCAGAATACACAGTGGGAAATGGGCTCTCCTGCATCTTACAGGGCAGTCTGTTGCCTGATCTGTAACGTCAGTGGAAAGCTGAATTCAGTTCATACTCTAGTCGTAGCTAAGTCTTTTCTTCTTAAGTTGCCCTCCACTTCTCAACACTTGACATACGTAATCTGTAGAACTTTTAAAAATAATTTTTAATTCTTCTTCCCATCCCTTTTTGTTGTTGTGGATCAAACCCAGTGGCTCGTGCGTGGTATGAAAATGCTCTTATACTGTTCTATACTCTCAGCCATCTTAATGCAAGCTTACCAGGTGAGGATACACATTCATCCATTTGTTAAATATTAATAAAACCGACCCCTTTCATTTTTAAGTAAGACATACATATTAAAAGAAGCTGTAGTTTCTCCCTATATTCTAATGGCTTTTTAAAAAAACTATTGTTTGCTGTATACTCTTTCTGAACAAAGGTTGCCAGGTGATACATTTATTATTGCCTCTGTATATGTTTCCCATGGTTAGCCCACAGATTGACCTGGGGTTTTCTTTAACTATCTGAGGGACTTTTTCATTGTTATTTGAGTTGGTTCCTGGGGGACTTTTGCTATTGTTATTTGAGTTGGTTCCTGATGTGGTACCCAGACTGGTCTTTCAGTCGTCTTACCTTAAGTCTCCTTGGTACCAGAAGTACAGATGCACGCCACCACACCAGGCCTTCTGTTTTTGGGTGGGTTCTTTTGTTGTTGTTTTCAGATTCAGTACCAACTTACCTCAATACTTATGAAAGCTCTGTGTGCAAGATACAAAGGTATTTTAGGCTAAATATTCTTTTCAAATTTTTACCCTAGAATTCCAAAGTTTGCTGAAATTAGTCTCAGTAAATAGCAAAGTGGGGATGGGGTATAGGTCAGTAGCAGAGCACTCTTGTAGCGTGAATAAGACTCTGTCTAGCCAGCACTACTACCACCACCACCCCAAAGCGAAGAGATCTGCTACACTGCGTAAGTTTTGAAGTGTATTCATTCTATAATACTTTGAAGGAAGGATAGAAGAGATTATTTCACCCTCCTCTATGTAAGTAACAAATATAAAATGTCATAATAATACCATTTGCATGAGGTCAGTCTCTTCTTAATCACATAGTCTTAGGAAGTTCTAATTGCTTTGTTATAACCAGCCGAGATTTGCTTTTTTGATTGCTTTTTTTTTTTTTTGGTTTTTCGAGACAGGGTTTCTCTGTGTAGCTTTGCGCCTTTCCTGGAACTTGCCTTGGAGACCAGGCTGGCCTCGAACTCACAGAAATCCGCCTGCCTCTGCCTCCCGAGTGCTGGGATTAAAGGCGTGAGCCACCACCGCCCGGCTTTGATTGCTTTTTAACAGTGCCATATGTGTGAGAATTTACAAAACTCTTACTGTTTAGTCTATAATTACCAAGTTCTGAAAAATCTGTCAATACTTTTTCCCCCTTAGGTTGCAATAAAAATAATTGACAAAACTCAATTGAATCCAACAAGTCTACAAAAGGTATGTTGATCTAGTATTTACTGTTTATTTTAAAATTTTATTTTAAATTTTTGTTTTAATTGCTATATAATTTACTTCTAATTGTTGGGTTTTTTTTTTTTACTTTTTTTATTTAATGTGCATTGGTGTTTTGCCTGCATGTATGTATAAGGATGTTAGATCCCCTGGAACTGGGGTTACAAACAGTTGTCAGCTGCCATGTGGGGGCTGGGCATTGAACCTGGGTCCTCTGAAAGAACAGTCAGTCCTCTTAACCCCCGAGCTATCTCTCCAAGCCCATTAAATGTCTTAGCTATTAGTAGTTAGTGCAACAAAGCTTTCAGTTCCTACAGTGGATGTAGCTTGCTGGGCATGATAATGGTGCTTGCCTGTAACCCCAGCACTTGGAAGACAGAGGCAGAAACTCTCCCCCCAAGTTTAAGGCCAACCTAAGCTTTCTAGTTAGACATTTCCCTCCTCCCTCAAAAAAACTTAAATGGAATATTTCATAAAAATAGTTGGGTTAACTTCAATTGAGGGCCATCATTTTAAATGTTCGACTAAGATAGAATTAAAAAAAAAATACGATGGCCAGGCGGTGGTGATGTACGTCTTTAATCCCAGCACTCTGGAGGCAGAGCCAGGCGGATCTCTGTGAGTTTGGAGTCCAGCCTGGTCTACAAAGTGAGATCCAGGACAGGCTCCAAAGCTACACAGAGAAACCCTGTCTCAAAAACAAAACAAAACAAAAACAAAAACAAAATACGAAAATATTTTCATTTGAGACATATAATTTTTCTTGACCCAGCTACTTGTGAGACTGCTGGAGAAAGGAAATTGCTTGAGCCTAAGCATCTTTGAGACTGTACTAAGCAGTTTAACAATACTTCCATCTTTTTTTCTTTTTTCTTTTTAATTTCTTGAGATTATAATTTACTTACAACTTTCTCCCTTACTTTTCCTTCCCTCCACACCCTCCCATAAACCCCTCTGTGCTTTCCTTCAAGTTTATGGCCTCTTTTTTTCACCAGTTGTTATTGTATGCATATATGCATGTGTATATATATTCCTAACTATTACCTGTTCAGCCCATATAATGCCATTTGTAATATGTTTTTAGGGCTGACCATACGGCACTGGACAACCAATGTGTATACTTTTCCCTGGGGAAGACTCTCCTCTCAGCATTCCTCAGTTGTCTGTAGTTTTGTGTAGGATTTGAGGCTTCATGGTCTTTTCTCTGGTTTGCCATATTTGTTGGTGTCCTCCTTATTCAGCTCATGGTTGAGCAGTCACGTTGGTGAGACTTGATGGGTGTCGCTTCTGTTACTTGATACTTGTTACTAGGAGACAGTCTCACAGCAAATCCTCTGATCCTCTGGCTCTTACAATCTGCCCACGCTTCCAAAATGTTTCAGCCTTAGGTAAAGGGCTGATGGGGTTTTTGTTGGCATTTTTTGTTTGTTTGTTTGTTTTTGTTTTTAGAGACATTGTTTCTCTTTGTAACAGTCCTGGCTGTCCTGGAACTTACTCTGTAGACCAGGCTGGTCTCAAACTCACAGAGATCTACCACCCAGCAGGACTGTTGTTCTTCATAGGCAATGCTCTATTTTAAAATACATACATACTGTTGGCATTTGGCTTGGTTAAACTCTTTGGGGTGTTTTGTTTTTGTTTTTTGGTTTTTGTTTTTCGAGACAGGGTTTCTCTGTGTAGCTTTGCGCCTTTCCTGCATCTCGCTCTGTAGACCAGGCTGGCCTCGAACTCATAAAGATCCACCTGCCTCTGCCTCCCAGTGCTGGGATTAAAGGTGTGTGCCACCACCGCCCGGCCTCTTTGGGTTTTTTTTTTTTTTTTTTCTTCTCTGTGTAACAACTTTGGCTGTCCTGGAACTTGCTTTGTAGACAGAGATCCACCTGCCTCTGCCTCCCAAGTGTTGGGATTAAAGGTGTGTGCCACCATCACTACCTGGCTCTGCTTTGGCTCTTTAAAACTTTATTATTGTTGTGAGTGCATATTGTACCTGTGTTGAGTGCCATGGCACATCTGCAGAGGTCAGTGGACAACTGCATGGAGTTGACTCTCTCCTTCTACCCTTTTATGTGGGTTCTGGACGTGAAATTCAGGTTGTCTGCGTTACGTAGCAAGTTCTTTTACCCACTGAGCCATCCCATCCTGCTTCTCTGTCCTAACTGAATGTCTGGCTTGACCATGAGCAAGTCACTAAACTTTTCAGTTTTAGGTCCTTTATTTTTTTGTGTGTTTTTTGAGACAAGGTCTCACTGTGTATCTTTGACTGGCCAGCAGTTTGCTATATAGATCAGGCTGGCCTCAAACTCATAGAGATCTGCCTTGCTCTCCTTCCTGAGAGCTAGGATTAAAAGTGCCCCGTAGGTTTTCATCTTTAAGATAGAGATAGTTTGATCCAGTGTTGGTGGTGTGGCCCTGTAGTGTTAACTACTAGTGATGCTGACACAGGAGACGCTCTTGAGCCCAGATATTGGAGACTCACCTAGGCGACCTATCAAGACCTCTCTCTTTTTTTTTTTTTATATTAATTTATTTATTATGCATAGTGTTCTGTCTGCACATATCTCTGCAGGCCAGAAGAGGGCACCAGATCTCATTACAGATGGTTGTGAGCTACCATGTGGTTGCTGGGAATTGAACTCAGGACCTTTGGAAGAGTAAGCAGTGCTCTTAACCTCTGAGCCACCTCTCCAGCCCAAGACCTCTTTAACAAAGTGATTGTTATCTAATATCATTTCACCATCTCAAAGTGGATGTATTAATGAAATAGTGCATATACAAGAGCTTTGTAAACCTCAAACTCTACAGTTGTAAGTTACTTTGGTATATGTAGTGCACAGTTTAATTACTACTCTATTCCTAATGGTGAGTTTTTAATCCTGATTTTGTTTTTTGGAGTCCTATATCTTATTTAGAGAGGATCAGGGATCGGGGAGGAGGTAGACTTTATCTGTACTATAAATAGTATTTAAATATGATGCAAACAGATCCCAGTTCTTGGTTCTAAAGTATGAATTGTTTGCTTGCTTTCTCTTCTCCCTCCCTCCTTCTTTTCCTTTCTTTCTGACAAGGTCTGACTAAGTAACCCTGGCTGGCCTCAAACTCACCTAGAGGTGCCTGCCTTTGTCTACTGAGTGCTAGGAGTAAAGGCATGTTGCCATTATGCCCCTAACCTGTTTGCTTAGATTTTCATATCTAGACCTAATGCAAATAAACTAGGAAATACTATAATTTGGTATTAACTATAAAATTTACTAAGGACTCTTAATTCTGTATTTTATGATACTACAAACTGTTTATGGTTTTTGTGAACCTAGAGATAGTTGGAATTTTACCAGTTTTGCAGGCATTTTAACATAGCTTTTTCTCAGGTTGGCTGTAATTTCACCTTGCTCCCTGATTGCTTGCTTTAGTTTTTCATTTTACTGGTTCATTGCTTATTATTTACTATAAGGTACTGTTGCTACAGCATCAAGTTACTACAATTTATGTTTTCTTAGTACCCTGTATGTTTAGCCCATAGTGTGATTATGCATTTTTGCACTGGCATCAATTTTTGTTTACAATAATCTAATAGTTAAAACTTCATAATTTGCCGGGCGGTGGTGAAAAGCGCACGCCTTTCATCCCAGCACTCAGGAGGCAGAGGCAGGCAGATCTCTGTGAGTTGGAGGCCAGCCTGGTCTACAGATCGAGATCCAGGACAGGCTCCAAAGCTACACGGAGATACCCTGTCTCGGAAAAACAAAAAACAAAAATAAAACAACAACAACAACAAAAAAAAACCACACTTCATAATTTGTGGTGTAGTGTTGGTTTTGTTTTGTTTTAAACTTTTTGTTCTTTGGGGGCAGCTACTCAGCTCTGAAATGAATATACAGAGCCTTGTTCTTTCTTATGAATGTCCAGCCTTACCTTGGCTTGTTTCTAGCCAGCTTTTCTTAAATTATTCTGTCTACCTTTTGCCCCCGGGTTTTTATCTTTCTCTAGTCTATATACCATTCTTCTTACTCCATGGCTTGCTGTGTAACTGGGTGGCTGGCCCCTAGTGTCTTCTCTCCTTCTTCTTCTTGCTCCTCCATTACTCTTTTTCTCCTATTTATTCTCTTTGCCTGGCAGCCCCACCTATCCCTCTCCTGCTTAGCTATTGGTCATTCAGCTCTCCTCACCCCCACCCCCAGGATTTCTCAGTGTAGTTTTGGTGCCTGTCCTGGATCCTGCTCTGTAGACCAGGCTGGCCTCCAACTCACAGAAATCCGCCTGGCTCTGCTTCCTGAGTGGTGGGATTAAAGGCGTGTGCCACTGCCACCCATCAATAAATCTTAAAAAAAGAAAAGAAGCAGTAGCTAGTCATAAAGCTAGGTGTGCTAGTGTGTAGTCAGAAGGTTTCTCCAGTCCCCCCAGGCCCCCTGCAGTCTCGTGTCCCGCTTATAAAATAATCACTCAGAGGCTTAATATTATTTATAACTGTTTGGCCACTAGCTCAGGCTTGTTACTGACTAGCTCTTACTCTTAAATTAACCCATAATTATATGTTTAGTGACGTGGCTTGGTACCTTTTCTTAGTTAGACATTCTCATCTTGCTTCCTCTGCATCTGGCTGGCGACTCCTGACTCTGCCCTTCCTCTTCCCAGCATTCTTCTTGTCTGCTTGACCCACCTATACTTCCTGCCTGGCTACTGGCCAATCAGTGTTTTATTTATCAACCAATCAGAGCAACACATATTCACAGCGTACAGAAAGACATCCCACAGCAGTAGTGTGTTGTAAATCCTACAGGGACAGGTGGCTCTTTGCTTGACAAGTTCCGGCCAGTGAAAGATGACTACAAAAAAATGAGTGAGTGAGTGAGTGAGTGAGTGAGTGAATGAATGAATGAATGAATGATAGATCTGGCTGTCCTAGTCTGCTTTGCAAGTTCTAGACCCGTAAAAGACCCTGTCTATAAACAGACAAACAAATAATAGAGTGAGTGACATCTGAGGAATGA